CTTTCCATTTTCTTTTCCATTACCACTATATGGTAGTTTCCCAAAACAGGGGGACCCCAATATAGACCCTAATATACTATAATCCTTATTATGGGGACCCCCCAAAAGGTACCCCTAATTTTGGGAAAGGCCCATTTGTCTATGTAATCCCAATATACTATAGTGGTTTCCAATTCTTTTCCATTATCCCTATATAACCCTACACAACCCCAATATATAGTAGTTTCCAATATCACCATTATGGAAAACTCCCTTCTGGAGGCTGGAGGCATCGCTGGAGCTCAACGGCACAAACCTTACATGGCGAGTGGAGCTTTCCGAGGCGACGCCATCCGAAATCACCCGTTGCTGGTTATTACTAGGGCATCAGTAGGGAAGGGAGGAATGGATCCCATAATGCTAGCACCTTCTTCTAACCCCCAAGAATTTTTGCAGTTTCTTTTTCCTCGTCCATTGATTCCTGTTGGCCAGAACCATGTGCTGTGCTGCGCGCTTCTCAAAATAGATCTTATGCTGGACTTCATCCGAGACTTGTACGTACATTGACTTGCTGAACTGCTTGCAAGCTTACAAGCAAGCAGACATCTTCAACTGAAACGGAACGTGTCCGAGGCCGCTTGGTAGTCGGGGTAGTGCCCAGGAAAAGCAGGTAGTCTCAGTTGCTATGTTGGAAGAACCGCAATAAAAGGAATGACAAACACAAGACGCGGGTCGCTGGGGAAGAACTGCTCCTCCGCAGAGCGTCTAGCCATCACACAGCCATCAGATAAGGATTAGCAGTGATACCTGTAGCAAGAAATCCAAGAAGTAGCGCCGCAAGGCCGCAAGAACATGTTTCCGCAAACATTGTGCTTGCGATGTTGTGCAATTTTGACCCACCAGAAATGGAAAACTGAGATCGGTGTCATCAAGCTACCCGAACTACTTGAGAGTCAGAAACGGCATGGCGCGTAGTAGCAAGGGTGACTCATGGAGTAGTACATTATGCTAAGACGTGGAGAGAATCTGAGCACAAGCGCGGTAGCGCGTGCCCACATTCGCATCAGCCAACTGGGTCCCCCGTTCTCAGTAACAGCCATTGCAGTACCAAAGGCTATGCTAGTGCTGACGGTGTTGGCTGCGGCAGATCGTGGTGGCAAGTAGTTGGAAGCGAAGTGCTTTTTTAGAGAAGGGAGGGCAACATATAGAAGGAGGGAAAGGACTGGAGAGCAGGGAAGTTCAGTTGTAGTAGCATTGGCGTAGTGGGTGGTAGACACGTGCAAGGCTTTAACCTTTGCAGGAGCTACGCTGACAGTGCTGATGTCAGAAGGAAAATGTACTCCAGTACAATGACAGGACAGCCGCCCGTATGCACCCATTTGCCCGAATGCTCCTCCTAACCTGAACCCTAGACCCTAAACCCTAAACCCTAAAACTTGATCTGCAAACCCCTGGCCCCTGAGAATTCGGAGCTTCCACGCTGCGTCTTCCAAGAGACGCTTGCTTCGAACCTCTCCACTTCCACAGCCGACTTCCCCGACGAAGACGACTGAGGACTGGAGGGGGGATTAGGTTCAGAGTATACGGATGAGGAGTCCACGGTCAAATAGTTCACGATTGAGACAATAGCTAGGCCTAAAGGGCACACATGGCTGAAGCGCAAATCTCTTAAGCCAGTAAGTTGATGCAAAGTGGGAGAAATCTGGGGCCTACGAGCCAGGAGGTGTGGTATGACTTGCCCAAAAAAATCTGCGTCATGCGTAGGCCCTATTTGCAAACTAACAGAAATCTTGGTCTGTGATAGTATGAACCATGCATGTTCAAAATTGCGAGCCCGAGACGACACAACGCTGACTGGTAGCTTGGAACTTGAGCATTTTGCCCTTGTACGAGCCAGTCCAAAGTAATGGGTGTACACTGGGATGTTAGCAATATGTAAAGGCGTGGACCATCATCCCAATCTTCACTATGACATAAAAGATTAGATTTTTGTAGGGCCGCTTAATCTATAGACCCCTGCAGAACCCAGTTTGCATTTCATGTCTCATTTTCTGTTCCATTTGGTTCTCCGTTATTGGGGTCATATCCCCCATATAATCCACACACAACCCTTCATGACCTTATAACCCTCCATCGCGTTCCTTGTCCGTACGTTGGCCGCTTGTTTTTACTCAAACGGCGTGGCCTTTGGTCGAGAGTGTAGGGCTTCACTATGAAGACGAAGTTTTGGGTAAAGACCATGAGCATGCAAACTTAGGTCCATCTGTGGCTTTGTATTGAATAGGCTCCTGAGAGCTCATAGAATAGGTTTCTACAAGGGCCCTCAGGCAACCTAGACCCATGAGCCTTGTGGCCGAAAGTCCCGTAAGCCCCTAAACGCAAATGATCGCGCTTGGCTCTGCGGCAGGAGCCTTTTTTCAGGAGAGCTACCTACGCAATGCAACTCCTGGAGTGCTGACAAAAAAACAGGTGTACTTCCACATTGATGGGTAGCTACATAGTTCATCACAACTAACTCTAGTTATAGCTTCGGATTAGGAGCTAAGGGCTTTGAACACCGAACGCCAAAGAGCAAAGCTCTCTAAGTGGGCTTCAGAGTAAATCCATTTCGCGGCCCATTTCACAGCGCCAAACTCAGCGCTGCGCCTTCAAGCAGACACTCTTGAAAGTCATGGTCCTCCCATCTTTGGAGATGTCGCAGAATCCCACACAGTACAAATTCTGCCCCACATGCTCGGATTCTGGGCAAGAAATCCCATATCCCAAGCCTGAAGCCAAGAACTTGAGGCCTCAAACCTCGAAAGCACCATCACCAGAAGCCATATGAGCTATAGTTTAAACTCCTTCAGGGGGTCATATAGGGGAGTATATAGGGGAGTATTAGGCGCCATTAAGGCTAGTAGTTTAGACTATCGCTCATATGGCTTCAAGTTGGTTCAACATCCCACTTCTATTTTTTCTTTGACATGCGCCCCCAAATGGTGCACTATAGGGAGTAAACTGGCTTCTAGACATGGGAGTTTGTCCAAATGCCGATCACGGCGCTTCGTGTTCCTACATACCTTGCCTGGAATCCTCATGACCAGTCCCATTTTGAGAAACCTTTGCCATGTCCTGAACCCTGACATTTTACAACGCAAAGACGAGGCACAGGAGTATCAGAAGCCCGCAAGCCCATGCAGGCATTTGTACCCTCCATACGCCCATACAACCTTTGTAAATGGACCAGGGACCCATCAGCTTAGCCTTCATCTTGAATTCGACGCTACTAGACCATGACATCCAGCTTGCTTTAAGAAGCCCATTGTCGGAGTTTCTCATTGTTGGTTATGTGATCAAGGAGGACCCTGTGCAGGAATCCCCTTTTAATCCTTTCGGCCCCTAAAGGGACCCTCCAGATAAGATGCCAACCTAAACCCTAAACCTTTAATTATGATACAGTCCTTCGTTGAAGGGATGGATGCCCAAGGAGAGACCCCCATTGTTTAGGGTTTAGGGTTTAGGTATATTAAGAAACTTCCACATCCTCAATCTTGAAACGTACTGTTATGGTCCTGATTCTGGGGACCCCCCCAAAACGGGCCCTGAATATGAGAAACTCTGGGATGCTGGCTTTGGAATGCTAAGGGTTGGGTACTGACCCCCCTCAGTAACAGTTGGATAATCAGCATAATATGGTTGTATATAGCCCTTAATAGTACCCCTAATATAGACTGTTTCTGGGTACCTGCAGTACCCAAGCTAAGGGTTTTTTGGTGTAATGCCAACTCCCCAGAGTTAGGACTTCAGCGTGCTCACATGATAGTAATAGAGCCCTGCTCTAGCTTGCTGTTAAGGAACTTAAACCAAGTTGCCATGATATGGGTATATACTAAATAATTGGGCTTCTTTTTACACAAGTGAACTTAAGTTCCTTAACAACAACGCAGTTTTGGGAGTGGGAGTTGGGATTACTAAACTCCCCCTGTTATTGAAAAGACTGCTCAGGTGGCAGTACTCGGCATCGTTTGTTCCACGCGTTCTTTGGCAGAGATTTCATGATCCAGCTTTGTCTCCTTTTTGAGGGCTATAGGGAGTATCGGAATACCCCAAGCTGTGCCAGTGTAGTGATTGGGGTTTAGGGTTTAGGGATGTCAAGGGCTTTGGGTTCTTGAGAATTGGGTAGAGGGTGTGAGATATCAAGGGCTTTGGGTTCCTGGTTCCAATGGAGGCATATCGGGATGATACAGGGCATCGGGGATCTACCTGAGTTGTACATCAGGCCCCCTGGGTTTCGGAGAGATTGAATTTGCAGCTGTTACTTGGAAGCTCATAAGTAGCTGTACGTGCGGGTATTTGGACTCCTAAAGTTAAGAATTGGTGTAAAACCTTTATAGCCCCACTCAGTACTAGCCATGAACCTACGCTTATGAAGGCTGTGGTGAGTACTTGTTCTCGCAAAGCCTGCAGTCAAAAAGAGCATCAGAAGCTGTGACTTGTTTTTTGGAATAGCCATTGAGTGCCACCATTTGAGGCAGAGTGAAACACTTATGTCGACCCCTTATGTACCGTCAAATACTATCATCCTTATTGGGGGGGGGGACTCTTAAACAAGGATCACCAAAAAGCGACCCCCCTCCCCCCCAAAAAAGGGCCCGCAAGATTGGAGGCGATTCCAAGTCATGATTGCTGAATTAGGGACCAGATCGGGATGGTAGGGGGGGCCTTTAAGGAGCCCCCTAGAATCCATCTACCATCCCAATGGTATGCCCCACCCCTTCTCCCGGCTGCTCCTGAGCCTCCTGATGCAATTCCTGAAGATCCAGAGCAAAGGTAAGCTGCTGGACGGCCGGGTGAGCACAGCGACAGAGGCCGCTGAGGCCACCGTCTTCGCCATGTTGCCCGCCTGGATATGAAGGTTTCCCGAAATTAGGGGGTACCTTTTTTGGGGTTCCCATAATAAGGATTATAGCATTTTGGGGTCTATATTGGGGTCCCCTTATGTTGGGAAACTACCATATAGGTTGAAGGCATAGGGTTTGGGGTTATGGGCTTTCTCAGGTCCAGGGCCTGCTTTGCGGAAGTAAGTGTTTCCGGGTACGCAGGAGGACGTTCATGTTGAGGAAGGCTATTTTAGGGGTCCAGGTTTAGATGGCTTGGGATTCATTTGGGCTTAAGGTTCAGGTTGTCACTGTGTTGGGGCGAGGTGCTTCAACCAGGGCATATCCTGGGCTTAATTAGTACCGATATTTTGGTCCTAGGGTCCTTGTGTAACGCTTGTAAGGGGTATCTTAATTGGAATGAAATGAGATCTGTATGTATTTAGGCCCGTACAGCAGCGTTGGCGTTGTAGTGAGTCTGGGGATGTAAGGGTTCAAGTGGCTGTATGGCCCCCTGTTTGGGAGTATGAGCATGCAGGGGTTATAGATCTGGAGAGCATCGATCAGAGAACGCATGGGGAACGTGTTGGGATCGAATGCCAGGGTCTTCATGCCTTCATAAAAACTGCTGAGATCCGTGAGATAGCGGTCATCCTCGAAAAGACTCTTGTTGATAATGTTTAGGGTTGCATTTAGGGAATTTTGGGTTGCAAGTTCAGGGCTCCGGTGCGAGGCTTTCGGTTTGACAGGGTTGGGCCTGCATGTTGAGTCATGTCCCAGACTTCTTGAACGTACTTGCTCAGGCATGAAGGGGTGCTACCGTACAAGTGCAGTCTTGGGTTGGGGGTTGAGGGAAGCTCATGCAGATTCATTGCAGCCCTGGGAGGAAAGAAATTAATGTCTGTCTGCTCCTTCCTTTTTCCTCACGCCTCTTAGTCTCCCAGCTACTTGCAGACTCATGAATACGACGTGTTCAAAACAAAGCTGATCACATGGGAGGTGATGTCTTGTACTTTCCGAAATGAGGTCCTCTCTGCTTGGATGCATCGACCTCGGCCAGGTTCCATTCCAACTGCCACATGTCGGGGCTTCTCAAGTGTTTCAACGTCTTTGTTGTTTCTGGGCCAGGGTTGTGTGACAGGGGTAGGGGTGGCTGTTGGTGGGCAGCAGTGCCCTCCTGGGGGCTTTTGGACTTTTTCAGAAAGAAGCCGAGCAGTGTGGACAGTTGCAGTGGCACATAGCAAGAAAACTAAGAACGAGACAAGTAATTGGGGTGAGGTCCCAAGAATGATAATTGCAATTAGAGAGCTGATGTTGTAGCTGAGCCTTGGGGCGAGGGATGGCAGGTCCCGAAGAGCCTTTCCCTTTTTGGAGCGTGTATGTACTGCGATGCCTGTAGCAACAGCTTCGGAAAGAGTTCAATTGCCGAGGGATAGGACATGCGCAGAATTCTTAGAGCTTTCCTTGGCCTACATATGCGATGCTCCCTATGCAAGAGAGTTTGCACAAGTCGCTGTGCCCTACTAGCAGAAACGATACGGGAGGACATATATGTATATATATATAATAGATGTATATAGGGCTTTGTAGAGCTAACGGTTAAGAAAATGCACCTTTCAGTGCTTGAAACCTGATGCAGGTTCTCCCGTTGCCTACGGAGGGAAGCCTGCCGATTTGGCAGGCCCAGCTTACGT